TTTTATATTTTATAACTAAACTAAGCAAAAAAAAAATGTGTTTGCCACATTTTGGTGTGTTCTCTATTTTGATGTGCACATTACAGGCTTTAAATGTCAGATTTTAAACTAGTGCTGCAATCAGTGAAAAGTCCATGTACACCACCGTTAGCTTGGCACTAACTTAATTAAGCAGTAGAACATGAGAGGGAGTGTGTTATCATGAAATAACATCACAGCTGTGATTTGGTCACCGTAAATTCTCAAAGCTGTGATGTTATTCGTGATAACACACAACCTCGAGTGATCTATTGCTTTTATACAACAGTTAAATAAATAAAGTAAGAAATTAATAAACTGGGCCGTGAAGGCGGCGTTTAATATGTTTTAATGTCAGCAGTTCCTTCAGCCAAATTATAGTTCCTTAACAACCAGCTTGTTGCTACGTCAGAGTAATGCACTCCGCTTGTCTGCTGTAAGCCTCGCCTTTTGAAGTATGGACTGAGCCATAAAACTGCCACAATATCAAGTTTAGCTCAGTTTTGTCAGTTTTTGCCAGATCGGTATTAATGTTGTTTTGTTCCAGCCAGTCTGTAAAGCATCTTACAGCCCATTTAGTTTGGCGAATGGTGTTGGGTTCATTTCTGGCTGATTCCAGGTTGTTTAGCTGTTCTAGCTGCTCAGTGGTGATGACAGTTTGGGAATTTAGTGTCGTCTCATCTTCAGAGTCTGACCAAATCGGCTGTCGGTCAAATGTGATCTTAAAAGTGTCCATTTTCTGTTTGTGGCAAAGTAAGAAGTAAAAACGTTCATATGGCTTCAGCGTCTCCTACAGCTGCCAAAGTCATTGCTTAGCAACGGCATCTCAGCGGAGTGATACAGTGTTAGTGGAAAAAGAACGCTTCTCAACCAATCAGCTTGCATGGCCGGAACTAACTGTTGTATAACACTGCATATTCAATAGAATGCTGTCAGAAATTAGCATTACTGTAATGTAGTGATGTCACAATGTGAAGGTTTCTAGTGGCTGTTAGAACCAGTGAGGGTTCACTCTCCATGTCTTCACTCCACAGTGACTTCACACTCAGTGTGATGTCAGAGGGGGTTTGGGGGAGGGGCCTGATGAGTATTTGGATTGCTGTGATATACTGTAATGGAAACTGAGCTGAAAAACAGCCCATCTCTAATTCACTGTTTTTATGCTGATACCTATACATTTTCATTATTCAAGTAACAGAAAACAGACAGATTAATTTGATGCTGTAAAATTCTAAAAAAAAATCCTGAATTAATTCTGCACTATAAAACAGTAGAAAGTGTAAAAATTGGAGTTATTTAACTTATAATAATAAGTTGATGGGGCAAAACACAGATTCTTATTCTAAGTATCTGAAGTTCAATTAGCTAAAAACTTCAAGGCAGTTTGGAAACTAACCATTTTAATTTAAAACTCATTTTTTTTCACTGTGAAAAAAATGAAGGGAGGTCAGAAAAAAGTAATGTAAAAATGAATTATAACAGTTTTTTGGTCCATAAAAAGACAAAAATGTGACCTTCAGAAAAAAATAAATAAATACAAGAAAAATGTAGGATATGGGTCCTAAGTAATTATGTGATGACAGTATCAGTTATATCTAATAATTTAGAATCTGCACCTCCCAAAATATTTCTCCACTAATGTAACAATTTCTCAAAAGTTTTGAGTCAGAATTAATTTGTATATAAATTACAGCATGCTTGCGTTATCGCTGGTGATAAGTGCAGCTTCTGACAGTTTGTTTATTTTGGTGGGTCAGTGAACAAAACAGTGTGTTAAACTGGAGCAGCCTTGGCCTCAGAGTGAGTCAGAACTCCACCAGCCAGAACCTTCTGACCTACTTCCTGCCTCAGTGCTCTGTGGGGACGTAGCAGCTGTAGAGCAGAGTTTAATTATAGGGGGGAGTGAGACATCCAAACATATTTATTATTGATTTTCATTTCTTACTACATTTAAATACAAACAATATGTCACAATTCACCCCATAGGCAGAGTTAATGGGAACACACTGAGGTAACCTTTACTAGAAAAGTCTGTTAAACTGAAGTAATAATTCCAATATAATATTATTTTGTTTCCAGTCTAATGCATAAACAAATCTGCATCAAAATACAGTTATTGAAAAGAGGTTGTATCAAACACTGACAATTTTATTTTGACCACAAAGTAAACAGCAAATATCACCACAATAAGACTGTAATATCACTGCTGTTGGAACAGAACCTTGTATCCCAAAATGGTAACTTTACAGGAGAAGGAAAAAACACACTCTACTTTTAATGTAAGTCAATGGAACCAGAGTTTTTTCCAAGTTATTTTGGGTCAATTCTTTTGGACCATTCATTATGAAATTTGCACACAATGTAAAGACCAACAGGCACTTTCCAATTACCAAAAACTGAAAAACGACAAAAGTGGAGATATGAGGTTTTGTTCTGACAACAGCAGAATATTGAATTTTATTTGTATACCAAAAAGGAGAACACCTTTTGGCTTCCTGAAGAACATTTGAACATTTCCTGAAGGAACCATTGCTGTAAATGGGATGTACTAGTGTGAAGAACCTGGTGTAGACTCCTTCTGCAGCCATCCTAGTGGTCATTTCACCAGCAGACCAGGGGCATCATGCCCATTCAAGTTGAGGGGGGAGGTGCCTGACCAGATTTTTGATATATATAAAGTTTATATATTTTTATTTGACTTTATTCTATTACTTTTATTTTTATAATATGTACTTATAGTAATTTTATATTATTATATAACATATTTTTTTAATTATGTCATAGGGCATACCTCAAAAAGTCACACCCCTTTCCCGGTGCTCTTGGTTTCTTTCAAAAGTTGCAGGATGAAATCAGTTCCCAGCAGCCGGTACAGACACACACAGCACTCTGTGCACAGCAGTGCTGAACCAGTGATGAACAGTGTGCTGCTGAAGTGGTCAGTAGAGCATCAATCCCTTTTTCAAACATGTGAAAATGAAATGCAATTAGTTCTACACACTTAAGTGCATTTGAGAAATACATAGCTTGCTTTGCAATATAGCCAGCTATGGCTAGAACCAGCTAAAGTTAGTAGGGTAACACTTTACTGTAGGGTACAGTTCACAAGGCTTGTGATAGCATAGCATCCTGTTTAATATTGGTAAAGGAGAGCTGTGTGTGTCTTATGGCAGTGAGCATCATCTGTACTCAGGCTGCTTCCTCTGCACTGTATTTGAAAATGCAACGGTTACCATATTTCACGTTCCTTTGATCCGAGGCTTTATTATCTATGTCCTCTAAATTCATTTGGATTGTGGATTTACTCTTTATGTGACTTTATGTCCCTTTTTGGGTGAAGCAGACCAGATTTAGCTCTTTTTCAAGAACACTGGCAGCAGTGTGAGCTAATGTAGAAGTGAATGACAATGAAAATGTTTAAATAAATTTACAGTATTTACCATAATGTGAAGTGAGAGACTACTGAGGTACAAAAACTGATTTAGTGAAGTTTTAAATAAAAACTTAAAGTCAAAATGCAGAAAATTACATCATTATTTTTATTTTCATTTTTTCTGGTGAAGGACCCCCATGCCCCCCCCCACTCTAACTATGCACCCCAAGAATTTTGTCTTGCATGATGCCCCTGAAATCGACTCAGATATTTGTAATTAATATGATCAAATAAAATATTTTCCCCATAACTTCATTATCAGATAATCTAGGACACTGTGGGCTCTCTGTATATATGTGTTGTTGAGCTGCTAGAGAGCAGTGATGAGTGAGAGGGGAGGGTCTTGTACATCTGACACAACAAATACAGCATTGAGATACAACAAACACAGTAAACACACTTACTGACTTACGAAGATGAAAATCCTGTTCACTTCTATTTTTGTGAATCATACATGTTTTCACTGACATATATGTATGTAAATATACCTTTTAGGAACTGTTCAGTATATTTTTGATGAATTGACGGTTTTGAATGTATATGGGGCGATGTGGAGATCTCTCATTGTTTACTTACACTGTGTTAAACTAACCCCGCCGTGTGGAGGCTGTACTTCTGTACTTTAGCCTGGCTGGTTCTCACTGTGAGTTATTCGCACCCTAAAGCGACTAAACTAACATAGGAGTGAGCTGTATGACTAACACACGATTCTCAGATGAAGCTGATGAAGGAACTTGAGGAGATTGTCCTTGAACCTGTTTAGCTTCTAAAATATTCATGTTACATTTTAGTTTGTGCTCCCCTTTACAGGGGTTCAGAAAGAGTGATCACCCTACTCTTACTGCAGAGAGAGAGAGAGAGAGAGAGAGAGAGAGAGAGAGAGAGAGAGAGGGAGAGCATGTAATATTAACCAGTCATTGTTACACTTATATGAACAAAAAGAATCAATTTGTGAAACATTTTTTTTATCTCTTTATCTCTTTCCCTCCTGTTTCTTTCTCTCTGTCTGTTTTACATCACTCTCTTTTTCCTCTCTCTTTCTTTGTCTTTCTCTCTATCTCTATCTCTCCCTCCTTCTCTTTCTCACTCTTTATCTATCTCTCTCCATTTCTTTTATCTATCTCTTTTCTCTTGCTCTCTCTTTCTCGCTCCATTTGTACCATTCTTTCTTTCTCATTCTCTGGTTTTTCTTTTCTTTCTTTCTTTCTTTCTTTCTCAATGTTTTTCTCTTTCCTTATTCTTTATCTGTCTCTGTCCATTTCTTTTTATCTCTCTCTTTTCTCTCTCTTTCTCTCTCTATTTGTGCCTTTTTTCTTTCTGATTCTCTCTATTTTTCTTTCTTTTTATTTCTTTCTTATTTTCTTTCTCACTGTTTTTCTCTTCCTTACTCTTTATCTATCTCTCTCCATTTCTTTTGAACTCTCTTTTCTCTCTCTCTCTCTCTATGTGTACCTTTCTTTCTTTCTTTCTTTCTTTCTTTCTCATCTCTCTCACTGTGTTTCTTTTCCTAACTCTTTATCTGTCTCTCTCTCTTTCTCTCTGTTTACAGACACGGTTCTGATTCACTCCTCCTACCTCCTCCCACTCCACGGGCCAAAGAACCACCTACACACACACACACACTCACGCCGTAGCCATGACGACCTCAGCCCTGCGGCGTCAGGTGAAGAACATTGTCCATAACTACTCAGAGGCGGAGATCAAAGTGCGCGAGGCGACCTCCAATGACCCCTGGGGTCCGTCCAGTTCACTGATGTCAGAGATCGCTGACCTGACCTTCAGCGTGGTGGCCTTTAGCGAGGTCATGGCCATGGTGTGGAAACGCCTCAATGACCACGGCAAAAACTGGAGACACGTCTACAAGGTAAGACCAAAAACAGTGTAATGACATATTTGTATGCTGCTTATTACACTATTTACTAAGTTACACAATTATAAATTGTTTGATACACTGTCTACATAGTAACACAAAATGAATAACACATGTAGAAACCTGTTATTACACTGTCTACAGGGTGCCATCATGGAGCATACAATTACACATTTATAAACTGCCTATTTCACTGCCTACAAAATAACACCAAAACTTGTAAGCAGTTTTAGGCTGCTTATTACACTGTCCACAAGCCTACACCTCATTTATAAACTCCTTATTAGACTCTCTACAATGTTACAAAAAGAAACATGTAATAATAGTACATTTGAAGCCCCTTATTACTTCATCTACATGGTTACACCATGGATTATATAATGACATTTTTATAAATGTCTTATTATTTTGCCAGTACTATATCAACACTATAATAACACATTTATATGCTAATTTTGGAACACTTTTTGGAAGGTAATACCACAGAGTGCAATAAAACATAATATAGAGTGCTTATTACACTACAAGGGATATAAATAGGTTGCTAAAAAAGTAGGAACAGTCTTGAACCCTGAATTTTGTCTGTACTATAGTCCATGTTTATAGATAACAGTGTGTCATACAGTGTCAAAAAGCACGCTATTAGAGATTGCTGAACAACTTCACATGATCTGATACAAGCTTATATCGATTTAATCCGTTAGCATCTAGCATGCTTTTTGGTTAAATACAAATTTCCATTACTTGTTAGCTATTTTGGGCTTTTAGCTCCAGTACAAAACCAAAAAAGCAACCTACAGATACCAAACATGTCTTTGCTGATCATCCACATTTGAAGTGAGGGAGGAAATTGTGAACATTTATGTAGAACTACCACTTTAACCACTTAAAATCTCAGCATTATTACAAGCTAAGGCTTATTATTTAATAACTACGGGGACTTCAGTGCAAACTGATTGAGCTTTTCTTCGATTATAGAATTGTGTGCAGGCCCTGGATATTAAAGGGCTTAAATAATGAAGGAACAATTCATTGCCACAAATTAGCTCCGTCAGTAATTCCCATAAGCCCGGAGTGGGTGTTGACTGAGTTAATTGTATGACTTTGTGGGCATCATTACTCTTAATGTTTTCTGAGCTCCTGAGCTGGTGTTAAGCTGGTGATGTGTGGCAGTAAATGAGGGGTGGATTTGTACAGGATTCTAATCTCCATTGGAGGAATCATACTTGCACTGACTTAATTACCATAAACTTCACCATGTGCTCTTCGATGCTGCTTTAAATGCATTAGCAACCCAGCAAACTGTGCTATAAAACACATAAGCACATTTAGCATCATAAACACACTGCCATTCACATGTTGCAAGAAGATTGATGTGACAAACATGCATACAAAACACATTCAACACTAAAACCTCATTGGCATTAGCTGTTTTAGTATTGCTAACTAGCTATGTTGTCACTGTGGCCAAGACTACTAGGTACTGTAGCATGGCTAAAGGAGCTCTAAGAGATTTGTTTACAGTTCTCTCACTGTATTTGCCACATATTCCTAAATAATGGGAAAATTCTGTTAAAATATGTTGCCTCAAGCTGTATCAATAAGGTCAAGATAATGTGTCAAGGTCAAAAACAATGTCCATTGTGACCCTCCTATTGGTTAGGACTTCAGGAGCTGAACTGAAGGCCTTACATATTAACCACTAACATAGTTAGTTAACATAATTAGAAGTTCTAGATACGTCACTAGATGTAAATATGATTTACCAGCCTTACCAGGTTTCAGTCAGCTGTTAGGAATGGAAAACAATGGCGGCAGCTCTTTGCCACGACTCTTTACTGAAAGAGTCACTGTAAAAGCGATACATGCAAACTCAAATATATGTTAATGTATGTTAAAAGCTTCACATATAACACATGGAATGTCTTTTACAAGCATCAAACGTCTGTATTTAATCTAAACCAGCCAAAAAAACGTTAATGTGCACCACCGTTAGCTTAGCACCAACATGCTTATAGAAAACTATGTGTGCTAGCAGAAATTAGCATTATCGATTTTTTTTTTCTATTTATGGTTCAAACTAAAAGCCTTGCTCTAACAGTCATGTTTCACCACTGTTGTCCAGGCGCTGACCCTGCTGGACTATCTGGCCAAGACAGGCTCTGAGCGGGTGGCCCAGCAGTGCCGGGAGAACGCCTTCACCATCCAGACGCTGCGGGACTTCCAGTATGTTGACCGAGATGGGAGGGACCAGGGCGTGAATGTCAGGGAAAAGGCCAAGCAGCTAGTGGCTCTGCTGAGGGACGAGGAGCGGCTCAGGCAGGAGCGAGCCCAAGCCCTGAAGACCAAAGAAAGGATGGCAGGAGGAGGAGGAGGAGGAGGAGGAGGAGGAGGGGGAGGGGGGGGTGGAGGACGAGGAGGAGGAGATGGTGGAGGAGGAGGTGGAGGAGGAGGAGGAGCATATCCTAACAGGAGGAGTAGCCAGCCCAGCATGGCCGCACTGTACGGAGAAGAATTTAGCCGCTCCAGAGAATCTCCATCATCCTTTAACTGTAAGTAGAGGAACATAACGTAACGTATACTGTACACTGAGTGGACAGTTTTAGAAATGCTTGCATTGTAGCTCCACTGATGTACAGTTAGAGACTGTAGCCCATCTGTTGATGCACAGTTGTGTTAGCCATCCTCCAGCTCTTCATTGCTGGTCAGTTTCTGATCACAGAGCTACACTTTTGAAAATTATTCTGAGAAAAAGAATCAAAATCTTGAGAAATTAAGTCAGTAAGTCATTGCAAATAAAAAGCTGAACCTGCACCATGTCACTACCATGTCAGTGTCACTGCTGTGGCCACTCCCCAAATCATTTCTGGCCTACAATCCTGTGGTCAGGAATTCATGATGAATGGGGTAACGGGTCTGATATACTGCACAGCAACAGACAAACTAAAGTCTGTAATTGTACCTGTACATAGTGGAAGTGTAAGGTAGATGTTTCTAATAAAGTGGTCTATAAGTGTTTATACAACAGTTAGTTCCGGCCACGTAAGCTGATTGGTTGAGAAGCGTTCTAACCGTGCTAATACTTCACCATAACATCACGTTTTTTTCACAAACACTGTATCACTCCACTGAGAAGCCGTTGCTAAGCAACGACTTTGACAGCTGTAGGAGACGCTCAAGCCATTTAAACGTTTTTACTTCTTACTTTGCCACAAACAGAAAATTGGTTAGTTTTAAGATCACATTTGACCGACAGCCGATTTGGTCAGACTCTGAAGATGAGACGACACTAAATTCCCAAACTGTCATCACCACTGAGCAGCTTTTCAGTCGGCAGCTGTGACAGAAGAACAGCTGAACAACCTGGAATTACTGAATACCATTTGCCAAACAAAATGGGCTGTAAGATGCTTTACAGACTGGATGGAACAAAACAACATTAATACTGATCTGGCAAAAATTGACAAAACTGAGCTAAACTTGATATTGCGGCAGTTTTATGGCTCAGTCCGATTTGGTCAGACTCTGAAGATCAGACTACACATTGCCGAATGGTATTGGGTTCATTTCTGGCTGATTCCAGGTTGTTTAGGTGTTCTTCTGTTACAGCTGCTGACTGAAAAGTTGCTCAGTGGTATTGACAGTTTGGGAATTTAGTGTAAGGAGCTGGAGAACGAACTGCTGTGCAGCAAGTGAGCAGAGTTTGTTACTCTGACGTAGCAACAAGCTGGTTGTTAAGGAACTATAATTTGGCGGAAGGAACTGCAAACATTAAAACATATTAAATACTACGTTCATAGCCCAGATTATTTCATGATTATTATTACGAACAACATCACAGCAGTGATGATCTATGGCAATTAAATCACAGCCGTGATGTTATTTCACGATAACACACTCGCTCTTGTGTTCTTTTGCTTAAATATATGAATAAACCCAATTTAAAAAAAGTTGTGACAGCTTTGACCTGTATTTGAATGAAAACATTCCATTTACAAGGTTATGTAATGTTTGTTTTACCAACTTCATATTCATTTTTGTAAGTATATCCTCATTCTGAAAAAGTTGGGACGGGACAATTTCAGATTAGCAACATTGTGAAATGTTCAAAAACATCTTAAACAGGTGATGCAATCATGCTTGCCTATGAAAGGAGCATCCAGGAAAGGTCAAGTCCTTTATGAGCGAGGACAGGTCAAGGCTTGCCACTTTGCCAAAAATGCAACAATACTATAATACTATCAAAAGATTTAGGGGATCTGAACAAGTCTGTACATAAAGGGCAAGGCTGAAAACCACAACTGATTGCCCATGACCTTCGACCTCTCAGACGGCACTGCATATCACCACATGGGCTCAGGAATACTTCAAAAAACTGTGGTCAGTAAACACTGTTCATTGCTGCGTCTACAAATGCAACTTAACACTATGCACCATGTCCAGAAACACTGCCGACTTCTCTGGGCTCAAGCTTGTTTGAAATGGACTGATGCACAGTGGAAACCTGTATTGGGATCTAAATTATTTGGGCCAAAGAAGAGAAGGAGCATCCAAATTGTTACCAGCATAAAGTTCAAAAGCCAGGGTCTGTCATGGTATGGGGGGTAGTAGTAGGTAACTTGCACATCTGCCTACAATCCAGATATGTCTCCCATTAAAAATGTATGCCAAATAGAACAATGAAGAATATGTATAAACATATAATGAATACTGTTAAAAGGAACAATGATTCAGTGGTAAACATACTCCTGTCCACAACTTTTTTGCAGTTGTTTTGTATATGCATGATAACAGCAACACATATATTGTACCCCTCCCCCCCTCTATCGCTCTCTCTCTATTTCTCTCTCTCTCTCTCTCTCTCTCTCTCTCAGCCTCTGCCTCTTCTCCCAGAGCGTCTGAGCTGGAGCAGTCTCGGCCTCAGACCAGTGGAGAGGAAGAACTGCAGCTACAGCTGGCGCTCGCTATGAGCAGAGAGGTACACTCTCACCTGCACATCAGAATGTCAGTTTTGAACAACTTACCGTCTTAAAGCCTAATCGGGTTTGTTTAGAGGAAAACAGTATCACTATCTCAACTGCATCGAACACCTTTGGGATGAACTAGAACAGAGATTGCGAGCCAGGCCCTCTCGTCCAACATCAGTGTCTGACCTCACAAAGGCTCCTCTGGATAACTGGGCAAAAATTCCCACAGACACACTCCAAAATCTTGTAGAAAGCCTCCCAGAAGAGTGGAAGCTGTTGTAGCTGCAAAGGGTGACCAACTCCATATTAATGCCTATGGATTTAGAATGGGATTCATACTAGCTCCTGTAGGTGTGATGTGTAGGTGTCCCAATACTTGTGTCTATATAGTGCATGTGCTGTTATTTCAGGGCAGTGGTGGTGCAGCAGTAGACTGAAAGAGGCTAGAGAAGAGAGAAGAGAGGAGAGGAGAGAGATATAAATTACCACACAGACATCAGAGAGAGACAGAGAGAACAATCTCTGGGCGATCAGTTGCAGCGTTTGCAGCAGATGTGAACAGATCCTGTTGAGCTGTCTGTGTATGGATGTTCTGAGAATCTTCTCTGTGACATCCAATTAAAACTAAAAGGGAAAAGAGTTTGTGAATGAACTTTTAGTTGGCTTCACAAAGCTGTGGACCAGAACCCTAGGTGATTGCTAAGGTGCTGCTTGGCTGTGGACATGTTATTCCAGGTGGTTGCTAAGGTGTTGTTAGGCCATTGCTATGGTGTCAGAGGTGGTTGCTAAGGTGCTGCTTGGCTGTGGATATGTTATTCCAGGTGGTTGCTAAGGTGTTGTTAGGCCATTGCTATGGTATTAGAGGTGGTTGCTAAGGTGTTGTTAGACCTTTCCTTTGGTATCAGAGGTGGTTGCTAAGGTGCTGCTTGGCTTTGGATATGTTATTCCAGGTGGTTGCTAAGGTGTTGTTAGGCCATTGCTATGGTATCAGAGGTGGTTGCTAAGGTATTGTTAGGGCGTTCCTATGGTATCAGAGGTGGTTGCTAAGGTGTTGTTAGACCATTCGTATGGTGTCAGAGGCGGTTGCTAAGGTGTTGTTAGGCCTTTCCTATGGTATCAGAGGTGGTTGCTAAGGTGTTGTTAGACCATTCCTATGGTATCAGAGGTGGTTGCTAAGGTGTTGTTAGGCCATTGCTATGGTATCCCATGTGGTTGCTAAGCTGTTGTTAGGCCATTGCTATGGTATCAGAGGTGGTTGCTAAGGTATTGTTAGGGCGTTCCTATGGTATCAGAGGTGGTTGCTAAGGCGTTGTTAGACCATTCGTATGGTGTCAGAGGCGGTTGCTAAGGTGTTGTTAGGCCTTTCCTATGGTATCAGAGGTGGTTGCTAAGGTGTTGTTAGACCATTCCTATGGTATCAGAGGTGGTTGCTAAGGTGTTGTTAGGCCATTGCTATGGTATCCCATGTGGTTGCTAAGCTGTTGTTAGACCATTCCTATGGTATCAGAGGCGGTTGCTAAGGTGTTGTTAGGCAATTGCTATGGTATCAGAGATGGTTGCTAAGGTGTTGTTAGGCCATTGCTATGGTATCAAAGGTTGTTGCTAAGCTGTTGTTAGGCCATTGCTATGGTATCAGATGTGGTTGCTAAGGTGTTGTTAGGCCATTGCTATGGTATCCCAGGTGGTTGCTAAGCTGTTGTTAGACCATTCCTATGGTATCAGAGGTTGTTGCTAAGGTGTTGTTAGGCCTTTACTATGGTATCAGAGGTGGTTGCTACTTTGTTGTTAGGCCATTGCTATGGTATCACATGTGGTCGTTAAAGTGTTACTAGGCCATTATTATGGTATTCCAGGCTAAGGTGTTGCTCTGCTTTTGCTAAAGTGTCCCAGGAGGATGCTAAGGTGTTGTTAGGGCATTGTTATGTAATCCCAGGTGGTTGCTAGGTTGGTAAGGTGTTGCTTGGCCATTGCTATGATATGCCAAGTGGTTGCTAATATGTACTTTTAATATCATCCTTTGTGGGAGTTTCTCTCAACATGCTGTCATTCCTTTTTCATGGGAACAAAAAAAAGAAAAAAGAAAAAAAAATGTAAACAGTGCAAAAAAAGTTTAGATTCATAAAAAACTGAAAAATGAACAAACAGTAATTTGGCTTTGTGAAGGAAACTTATTTAAGTTAAATACACTCAATTTTTCTTCATTTTGAACTGTTGTATAAAAGCAATCAAGCACTCAAGGTCATGTGTTGTCATGAATAACATGACAACGTGTGATGTTATCTGTTATAAAACACTAATATATTTGCTTAAATATAGCCAAAATGTTGATTTGGCTAAAATTGGACAGATTTAGGAGGACAGACCAAAACTGATGAGCACTCAACAGTTATTCTGTAAGCATGCTAAAAATGTCAGAAACAGCAGTTTTGTACAAGTTTATCTTATCAAACACAGTAAATAAATACATTTGAAGGATGCGTGAGGTACGTGAGCCAGTAATGAGTCACGCACACATCCTTTATGCTGAAACTGCTTCAGCAATCAGCTGGATCTCTGATCACGATTTGGAATGTAAAGTGTGTTTCCTAATTAGATCCACTCTGGTCACCATAGAGATGAAGAGTCCAGTCTGACCACTTCTGGCTCACAGCCAACCCTCACCTTTAAAGAAGAAAGCTATCTGGTGGAGAATGTGTTCTAATGCCACTGTCTTTAAGACATAGTTCGCCCCCATGTGGCGAAGAGAACAACTGCATGTTGAACTGTAGTGTGAGTTTTCTTACTGATAGAAAAAAAAACAAAAAAAAACATATATATATATATATATATATATATATATATATATATATGTTATAAATAATTTTGTGTTGTTATATTATTATTATTATTATTATTATTATTTACACTATGTAAAAATGCACAGAAATATTAAAAATAAAACGTAAGTCTAAATATAGGAAAAATATATTTTTATTATTATTTTTTTCTTTACTGATGCAAAATGGATCATATGTGTTTTAACATTTATTTTACATATTTTTCTTCTTCTTCTTCTTCTTCTTCTTCTTCTTATTATTATTATTATTATTATTATTATTATTATTTTAGTATATATATTATTATTTACATCATTTTAAAATTTTCCATATTCTATTGAAAAATAAAATAAATTAAGTGTGCCTTAAACACACTAAAACACCTGTTTTTGGAAACTCTGTTGCCATGGAGATGACTAAAAAGGCTCAGCTGATTGTGAGTTTGGGTTTTTTCAGTTTGAAAAGAGCAGCGTGTGTGTGTGTGTGTGTCTGTGTGTGTGTGTGTGTATGTGTGTGTGTGTCTGTGTGTGTGTGTGTGTGTGTGTGTGTGTGTGTCTGTGTGTCTGTGTGTGTGTGTGTATGTGTGTGTCTGTCTGTGTGTGTGTGTGTGTGTGTGTCTGTGTGTGTGTGTGTATGTGTGTGTCTGTCTGTGTGTGTGTGTGTGTGTGTGTCTGTGTGTGTGTGTGTGTGTGTGTGTGTCTTTCTTCAGTCTGTTGAGACCTGAATCTGAATCTGACAGTTTGTTCCCACAATGCTATTATTAAATCACTAATCACTATAACTGCTGTTTTGTTGGCCTCACTTCATTTGTTTTTAGCCCTGCAGAACACAATTGTCCACTGTCGACAGTGTAATAAGAGCTTTTTTATCATGTGTTATCACAGTCTGCAGTGTGTCCTTTAGAGAATGTAATAAGGCAGTTATAAATGTATTATTATAGTAGTAACAGGCGTCATGGAGAATTTTGTGTGTATCTTTGTCCATTTCTTTCAAACTTTGAACTCCAAACATGAGTCTACATTTTGAGTGATGAGGAAAACTGTGTAAGTTTCCCCCGAACTGTCATTTTAATACCTAATAAAACTGCATTGTCTTCACCAGATTAGTTTAGGTAAATAAGTAGATGCCTCTGAAAGTACCAAACATAGCCTCTGCATACTTAGAAGCAGGGAACACCACTGAGTAAGGGGCAAATATTAGTCTACCTGCCTTCAGTGCAGCAGCAGCTGATTCTGAACAGAACATTCAGACTACAAAGGAGCTTCTGACTAAGACAGATCTGTAGCTCTTTGTTATGAAGAGCATTGAAACTGAAGTGTTGTGAAGACATAAAACAATGGAAGAAACAGTCTTTCCTTTTTCTAAGAGGGAGCATTTGCAGTTTGATGGGGTCCATCCATTTCACAGGCCATTTTAATACCTCTAATCTTTTATATTTTCCATTTTTTGTAAATCTACATGTGGAGACAACAGTAATGACACTACCAGCCAAAAGTCTGGCCACACACTGGATTCTATTCTTCTATTCTTCTATTCTTTTAAGATTTATACATTTTTCTTTTAGCTTAAATACTGAAGTTTCTTTTAGGTTTAAGGTTCAAAGATGTTTCAAAGACAAATGTAAATACTCAAATTTCGTACTTTTTAGAACATTTTATTTATTTATTGATTCATGCAATTTAGGACTATTATATTTGGAAACTGTGGAGCGACAATCATTATATCATCATAATTATTTTGTATTTAAGGTAAACATAAAGTGCCTGATCTCATTAATACATTTCCACCAATCAGTGTTGTTGTGACTGGTGAGGGTGGGGCCTAAATTGCCTTATTTGGTAGAAAGTCAGTATTTGTTTGTGACGGTGGCAGACGGAACCAGACGCTCTCAGACGAGGCTTGAGTTAAGAACTTTAATACCAAGGGGTTGATCCCAAATCAACAGTCGATAAACAGAAGCAGAAAGTCAAAAACCAGAAATCCAGTGATGATAGGTGGATCAGTTAGAGTCCTGAGTCACGTGACGAAGCGAGGGTTTCTGGGAACTGTAGTCTGAGGCGGCCGCATTGACTGCAGTTTCAGCCGGGCCAGAGGGAGGCGTGGCATTGTGACTGGGGTTTATTCCAAATAAAACCATTCGTTTTTTTGTGTTCAGTACTGTTCTAAAATGTGGAAAACAGTAAAAGAAAAAAAAAGAAAGAAAGAAAGAAAGAAAGAAAGAAAATCTGCTCTATCTTAGATGTGTTCCATCTTTTGAAGTCTAGTGTATTAAAAATAAGCTAAACAATTTAGCTAAACTTTTAATCTCACTGAAACTGTTCATGTAAATGGTTAATAATATACCTGCATTAACTTTTTGGACTTTTTTGACCAGTTGAATAATCTGACCTATCTACTCCCTCTGTTTTTAATCTGTTTCTGTCCATTCCTGACTAATTTCTATCTGCAGCTTCATGAACTTCATTACCTTCATTAATCTTCTCATTAACCTTCTATCAGTCCTTTTGTAGTCACTGGAACATTAGGCTGCTGTCAGTTCCCCAAAGGAAGAAACATCTGACTTCAGCAGCAAGAATATGTTTTGTGTGTGTGGGTGTGTGTGTGTGTGTGTGTGGCGAGGGGGGTGTGTGTGTGAATGTGTGTGGGTGTGTGTGTTTAGTTCTAAAGTGTGTGTTCTCTTTCTGAAGGAGCAGCGGAGCCGTCAAGGGGACGATTCCCAACTTCAGAAAGTTCTGGAAGAAAGCAGGAGAGAGAGTGAATCTGGACGAGGGGAGGTAAGAGAAAAACAAAGCAGTTGAACAAACTGGACTTTTTTTTTAATTTTACAAAACTAAATTGATTACATATGAATATAAATTGCCTAGTTATACTTAGTAGGTTTCACATAAGTTGTTTAAATCTGCAAGAAATTAGGAAATGTTAGATGTGTCCAGAATGATAATTAGAGCTGTAGGTGTTTCTGTTATAACTGAGAGCATTGAGAATTCAGTTATAATAAAATTAATGCGATTATAATGAAATTAATGTCCAGAATAACATGATAAAGTGTCTGTAGCAGTCATTGACCACCCGGGAGCCTTTATAGCAGCCCTCAACCAATCAACAGTGGTTAAGTGAGTCCTCAGCCAATCAGAAGCTTCTCTAGCAGAGCAGTGTTGAACCAATCATGAGCCCCTGTAGCAACCATGACCCAATAAAAAACCTCTGTAGAAGTCCTGAACCAATTAACAGCCTCAATAGCAGCCCCCACCAATCAGGAGCCTTGGCACGAGTCCTCAACCAATCAACAGTGGTTAAGGCAGTCCTCAATCAATCAGAAGCTTCTCTTGCAGTCCTGAACCAATCATGAGCCCTGTGAAAATCATGAAACAACAAAAAGACCCAATAGAAGTCCTGATCCATTTATGAGCCCCTGTAGCAGTCATGACCCAATAAAAAGACCAATCATGAGCCCCTGTAGCAGTCATGACCCAATAAAAAGACCAATCATGAGCCCCTGTAGCAATCATGAGCCAATAAAACGACTCCGTAGCAGGCCTCAACCAATCAGAAGCCTCTGTAGCAGTCCTTAACCAATCAAAACTCTTAGTATCAGTCTTAATTGAATGTCATTGGCTGCCTAAAGATCTCTTTTCTCTTCTAGTCAGCGATGATTGATCTGGTGGATATATTCGGTCCCTCGTCTGAAGCACCACCTAGTGATGACCCCTGGGATGCCCAGCCCACCTGCCCAGTGAACTCTGACCCCTGGGATTCTGTAGGTCAGTAACCTCTGTGTAATTAAAATTTGCACAGTTTCCTCCAGGAACTACAAAATGTAATTAATCAACCAAGACATGTTCTGAAGTTTATTTCATTAACTTTATCACTGCAGCTATGAGGCTAATGTAGCTAACAAGTAGTGGAAGCTTATGTACACCAATTAGCATCATGGAAATTACATGCCTAAAATTCCAGCATCTGCTACTGTTTTTAGCCATGTGATGTGCTTTAGTCCATGTTTAAAGATAACAGTGTGTCCTACAGGGTCAGAAAACACATGATCAAGTCTATTAGAGAGCTTTAAAAAGACTCAGTAACCATGCTTACTCACATGCAGCAGTGCCGTAGTAGTTGCTAGAGCAAGATTTTCCCATTTAACCTCTTAAAATCCAAGGCTTATTACATACCAAGGCTTATTATTCAGTAACTACAGAGACTGCAATGCAAACTTACTAAACTATTCTTACAGAAGTGTGTAATAAAACTTTAGGCCCACCATTGGTTGCTGGCTATTTGAGGAAAGACAGTTCCCTTCTGGTGATGTATTTTGAAGGTGAAAGGAACCTTTGAAAAACTACAAGTGCTTTGGGTGGATTTTTGGGGCTGTTTTGAAATTTGATTATAATTTTATAAATATTATTATTAGTTTAGGAACGTAGAAAGAAGGCCGATAGCTAATGTTACCGCTAAAAAGCTGAAAATCTTATCGCAGCCGTAAAAGTGTATAAACCTCTGCAAATTATCATTATAATGGAGACAACAGATGACTCAAATGGCAGAAATGAAGAGGACAACAAGCTAAACGCTAAAGTGAGCAAGGTTCTTATTTTAAATGTGTTCATATTTCATTTATATGACCTGGTATGATATCTTACCTCAGTTTGGCTTCCTTTTCCTGGCTGAAGGGTAAAAACTTGTCTTTGGTGTCTATTTGGTGGGGAATAAAGATATAACTGCTGTTTTCTTAGTGCATCGTTAATAGGCTTGGCCAACAGTCAGGATTGCTTGACACCACAGGGATTCCCGATGGTTGTATGATGAATTGGCCTAATGCATGCTGGGTATTGTAGTGAGAAAACATTGATGAATTAAAACATGAAAGCAATATAAAACTGGGAACTGTTGAGGCTGAAGGATATAATTGACATTGACGTCTTTAAATAATAGTACTTAATTTATTTCACTCTCTTTCTCTCAGCTGTGGTTAAGTCCAGCACTCCTGTAGTTGGCAGTCCTTGGATGGCCCGCCCCTCCTCCAGTAGCCCTACCCATCCATGGGGAACCAGCCAATCACCTCCGGACCCTTGGGGTGCTCCGCCCACCGACCCCAGCCCCAAACCTGCAGAACAAGCATGGAGGAGTCCAGCACGGCCAGGTACCACACACACACACTACCAGACAGTACTTGACAATGTATGAGTTTATTTTGAAAAAAAAAATGGATGCATGTGTTGTAACGTGTGTAGCCTCAGTTGGAGTCGACCCATTCTCCATTCGGGAGGAAGAGGAGGAGGAGGAGGAGGAGCTGAGAGAGGAAGAGAGAAAGGAGGAGAGTAAGGAGAGAAGAGAGGAGGGGCCTAACAGGGTGTTCAGCCCACGCTGTGACAGTCCAGCAGGTACATCTCAGTTCATGTCCCAGTCTTACACTAAACACCAATTATAACAGATAATAAACAACATCCTGTGACTCTTTACTACAGGGCAGTGTTCATAGTGCTATATAAGCTTATTATTACATCTTATACAAGACTACATAAACATCTATAAACAGGCACAAAGGCTGCTTTGTCAACTTTGATGTCACCTATGTCAGTTGACAACAATTTTTCTGACATTTATTGTCCTGACGTTATTTTGGGTGAAATGATAATGTTATAACAACTGACTTTGTAGCTTAGTGTACATCACAGAGAAATAATGCTGATGATGTACCTATGGAAGTCCGGAGAGGCCATGAGGTAGTTATAATTTTCTGGATTGTTACCTTCAGATAATATGTTAACTATCTTGTGATTCCAAGATGACAAACTTGTTATCTTGATATAACGAGTTAACACAAAGTTGTTATCTTGAGATCACAAAACAAGTAACTGTTATCTCAAGATAACAACCGAGGAAATTCTAGCAACAGCTCATGGCCTCTTTGGACTCCCGTCAGCTTAAATCTTATGATTATAAAACGAAACCTACTTTGCTCTCTAGACAAAGCATCCGTCCTCTGCAGGAACTTTTCCATTTCAAAGAAGTGTGATAGAAATAACAACAAACTTAAAACCAAAACAAACTAATATGTCTATGTTTAAATTTTGGTCACACTTTATTTTGATAGTCTCCTCCAGATGACCTACTTATCGCTGCTGTCAGAAGAAAACCACATATCTCCATTTTTGATGTTTTTCAGTTTTTGACATAATTTACAAATTCCGGTTGCCCTTTACATTGTATATAAATTTCATGAAGAACGGACCAAAAGTAACGGTCCAAAATGACTTGGGGGAAAAAAAGTTTTCATTTTGGAGATACAAGGTTTTCTTCCGACAGCAGGGATATACTTAAATTATTCTAGTTCTAAATTTCAGGTCCTGATTCAGTTGCTGAACTGATTCTTTTTCTGATCTGATTATTCTGTATCTACACTCTTAAAACAAAGATGGTTCTTCAAGGGTTCTTTAGTAAAGAAAACGGTCTTTTTGCATGATTAAATAGTTCTTTGCATCATGAAAGCGTTCTTCAGATTGATGGAGAATGTGCTGTAGATGGTTCTATATAGAACCTTTTTGAAAAGGTTTCTATATAGCACCAAAAGGGGTTCTTCTATTGTTATGGTGTTAAGCTTGTAACAGAGGAAGAACCCCTTTGGTGCTATATAGAACACTTTTCTCCATCAATCTGAAGAATCTTTTCATGATGCAAAGAACCCTCTAATCATGCAAAGGGTTCTTCTTTGAGTGTATATGATTCTATATAGGACCATTTTCTTTGCCAAAGAACCCTTGAAGAACCATCTTTTTTAAGAGTGTATTCATCTTTAACGATCTTAAACTCATTCTGATTATGAACTGATTCTGGTTCTGACATGAATCTTAAATGATTCTGATTCTTATTATGAATTGATTCTATATCTGATTTTCAGATGTTGACCCTTTTGCTGAGCTGGTGGTGGGGGGACAGGTGAACGGTAGAGTTGAGGACAGTCCGGTGACCTTTGACCTTTCTCGTTTGGGTCCGCCGCTGGAGTCGGTGACACCCAGAATGTGCCGGACACCTGAAGCTTTTCTGGGTCCCACCGCCGCCTCGCTTGTCAACCTGGACACGCTGATCCCTACAAACCCACCTGCCAAGAGCAAAAACCCCTTCCTCTCAGGTTGTTCACACACTCGTCCTCTTCAACTCTGTTTCTTTGAGTATTTTTCTGTTGCCTTGTACTGATTTAAACCTGTCTTGTTCTCTCTTTCTCTCTTTTCCTGTCTCTTTCCCACAGGTTTGAGTACTCCTTCTCCCACTAACCCATTCCATTGTGAGCAGCCCAGACTGACTCTCAATCAGATGCGTCCGAGCTCCACCTCCCCTCAGCCTCCTCATACTCTTCCTCACACTCTCTCCTACAGTGCCTCCCTGCCCCTCCCCCTACAGCAGCAGCAGCGTCCATCACTGCCCTCGTCCTTTACTCAGCCCCACCATGGCTTGCTAGAGCTGCCCAGTAACCTGCCCCAGCCCCTTCTGCCCCTGTCACCAACACCAGCCCCTCAGCTGCAGAGCCACAGTCATAACCCTTTCCTCTGAAAACGATGTAGATCAGGATCACGGCGGTTCACACGCTTACTGATTCTGATTCTGACTGAACTGAAATCCAGTCTCTACAGGGCCCTTCCTCTGAGAAGAAAATAATCTGGATAAGAATCATGTCCGTTCACACTTATGCTGGTTCTGAACTGAACTACAGACTCTGATGAAGGCAGTCTGGATCAGAATCACGTCAGTTCACACCTATCTTGATTCTGAACAGACTCAGCTTCAGAACCAAACCTTTCCTGTGAGGAGAGAACAAAGGAAACCCTCTGCTGTAAAAAAATTGGATCAGAATCGAACTGTACAGCCTCAGCTCTAGAGCCACAGGAACAAGCACTTATTTTGAAGAGAGGAAGAAAGAAACACCCTGTAAGAAACAATCTGAATCACGTGTTCACACTTACTCTGCATTCAAGCTGAACTTCAGACCCTGTTAACAACAGTCTGGATCAGAATCATGTCTATTCATGCCCATTCTGCTTTCAAACCGAACTACAGTCTCACACACTGGAATATGCACTGAAACCGGATTCTCCATTGGCATTTTTTTCAGGGTGAATAAACTCATTTCACACTCTCGGAATGGGACTAAATGACACTTTAGGGTAATAATCGCTACCAGATTTTTTTCATCCTCGGAGGAGCAATCTGGATCAGAATAACTTCTGTTCACACAGACTCAGGGTGGACAGATAGATAACTTGATACTCTCTGAATGTGACTAATGGAGTTTTTCCACCAGGCAATGTGGAACAGCATGGTGCAATTACTAATCCAAACCCAGAACCGTGAAGGTAATTGGGGTTCTTTGTCATCTGACTCAAGTGATGCTGTGTGATGAATAATTGATGATTGTGTGACCAATGGTCTGCAGTCACCCGTATGTTCTGGTTTTGTACACTTGGTACCCTGGCAAAAAAGATAACCGAGTTCTGCACGGGTACTCATGTACAGTACAGGTCACTTGGCAGTGGCAAAATGTGTGACTGTAACTCTACCATACCTAACAGCACTGCCTGGTGAAAAATGGCATAACTGACACTTTAGGGTTTAGGGTAAAACTCGTTTTGTAGGGCCAGATGCCATCTTTTAACGAGAATACAAGTCTGGTGATGTGGCATGCACCCATTCTTCGGGCACTGATGAAGGCTGCGAGTGCGGGCAGGAAGGCAGGGCCTGAACTCTGAGTGAGGATGAAGCCCCTTGAGGATGACGGGGAGAGAACCATGAGTGAGTGGGGGGCGGCACATGAGTCCCAAGCCCCGTCTCTTGGGTGCCTCCTCAGGTCCCACAGTAAGGCAACTTTAATTTACCTCACGTTTGACCCTGGTGGCCGAGCTGCGGAGGGGGGGCGGTGACAGAGGTGGAACAATGAGCTTTCTTTCCCTCTTGGTTCAGGTGCACAGTTCTCTCCCCGTTGTCCTCAAAGGAATTCGTCCTCGTTTGGAGTTCGGGCCCTGCCTTCCTGCCAGCTCTCATGGCCTTTGTCAGAGCCCGAGGGACAGGCGCATGCCACAGGGGACAACTTGCAACAGTTTTGGTTTTGAATTGTCCACAAACAGGGATGCAACCCTCAATACCTCCAGAGCATGGTGGTATAATTCAAAATAGGAGCAAAACAAACTAGCTGTCAAAAGATTACGGTTGCCCCATTTTTTTCCTTTGCAAGAGGTAATGTTTTTTCCACACATGCTACTCACATCTATATGCTTAATTGGAGTTTTTGGGGGGACTTTTCAGCCATGCTAAATTATATTGCTTCCATGGGCTAATGACACACTTGTTGATAAGCACTCCATCGTCTTTGCTTTGAGCTTTGCCTTTACAAGCCATTGGATTGGTTTCAAAATTTCATACTCAGTCTATTCCCACCTTAATAAGTCTGCTTCCACCTACATTCAGCCCAAAATTTCTCATTGTTGTTCCTAGACGTTCTTGTTACAAGATCACAACTGATCCCACTAGACAAGATAAACGGCTCGATATTTATAGAAATGATCACTTTATGGTAATCTAAAAGTCCCCATTTTGACAGTATGACAGCAGATCAATAAGTATTAATATTTCGGCACCTCAGTACTCTTCTAATGACGAGGAAAATCATGGCATCTACAGTATCTAGCATGCTGCTTATGAAGACTGAGATGGGCTTCAGCTGTCAATCAGCATGACTCCACCCTCATGCAACTAAAAGGACCTGACACCTGAGCTGTCAATCTAAAGGACATACCCCTCTCACACCTGAAGTGGGTGGGGCTGAGCTATTAAAAGGGGAAAACCAACATTTCAGGAATACTGACACAAACTGAATCATCACCGAGAATGAATGCACCGCTCCTTTAAACCCTTGGTCCTCCTCAAAGCTTACTCGCTTTCTGTTGCCTTCTGTCTATCGATTGCTGTGGGTGTGTGAAACTCGCCTAATCAGGGTCCAGCACTGATTGTAACCCCCGTCCCTCCCTCACAGAACCACAGTGCATTCTGGGCTGGCTCTATTTTTTTCTGTTTGGACCTCAGGAGCTCCGCCCTCCAAAATCTGCACAACCAATGAACTGCTCACAAACAACCATCTGTCTTTAGAAGGGTTTTGTAGATCTGGTCCTGGAGTAGCCCTGTCCTGTATATTTTGGTGTTTTCTCTACCCTACCACCTGATCGAACTTATCAGCTCATTACCAAGCACTTCCTGAGTTGGAGTGGGTATGATTACAGCTTTTAATCAACAGATTCTTGACATAAGAAATATCAAGAATTTGAGAAGGTAAAATGGGCTACATTTTATTTAGATAGCCCCCTGTAGATCTGCAGACGTTCATATTTTAATCTCAACAGTGTTAGGTTTTGGACTGAGGTTAGGGTTAGGGAACATTAGGGTGAATTTAATAGATATATAGCTAAAAGAAGTTAAACACACTGTAGGCATGTGCAAAGTATCTACAATGAGCTATCCAAATAAAAAATGACAATAAAATATTATGAACACTGGTAAATAAAAAAAAAAAATTCAATCCATTTTAAATTTAATTTTAACATGTTCTAATTTATTAATCAGTGGTAGTTTGCACTGAAACACTATTAATTTATTATTTATTAGTTAAAATTTAATTTTGAAATCCAAATTGTAAGTCTTACATATACACACTGATTTCCTTCAAGTTACATTTTTTGAATTATTACAAGTACAAAATTCAATTCTTACATGTAAGAATAAAAAGTTTTACATGAGCTGCATTCAGTTCTAAGCATTTTACAATGTACAGTTTTACAGTTGAATTCAAACTGGTGCATATTTCACATGGCAAATCTCACTTTTTAACTAGTGTTAATTAAATTTTTACTTGTTCAAGCTGAATGTCTTTTATCACTGTGGTTTCAAAGTTACATTAGGCCCATCATGATCGTGAAAATTCAGCTGGCAGTTAATTGTCATATAATTAACTAGGCTTGATCATTTAAGCAGTATTTTGTGTTCATCATATGCAAAACTTAAAGTATAGACCTAAATTTGCCGGAGTGTTACTGAAAGCTGTTCCCTTCAGGTGCTATAGCACCAGTCAGAGGTTAGAACTTCTGCGGTTTTTTGTAAGACTGTCTCGATAAATACAGTTTTTGCTTTTACACGTTTATCTCAACCCAAATGCTCCCAATTTACTAGACACTGTCATTATGAGTATATGATATTTTGAAAGCTAACAACTGTGGAAAGTAAATGTGATTAAATTGCGATCTGGTCATCCAAAAATTTAGACAGGCCTATTATGTGCTAGTGTCGGGAAAACACTGTATTCAGGAGCAGCCAGCCAGGACCAGAACTGAGAAGCACTGTTATGCAGGAAAAGATCCAGGTATTGAATGACAGATAAATAATAAAGAAGGGATAAAAGGAATGTTCTGTTTGAATTGAAAGAGATAGGCAGACTGGTCATATATTGTAATGCTGAACTATCCTATGCTGTTGTTCTTCTGTTGAAGACAATATTAATTTATTGATAAAAACCAGCTTTATTGTGCAATGGCCATTGATGAATATGATGAATATGAACGTTTAGTGCGTCCTATAAGGCAAATACATCCAGGTTAATCATTAATGTATTATGATACAAATAATATATGTCAGTATATCGATGAGCACCAATAAATGAATGTCATTTGCATTTCATTCATGTCATTATTCTATCTGTTTATATGCACTGTTATAGAACAGCAAAGGTTCGCAACACTCCTGAGCCAAATAAGCCACTCTTAATTACATGTGGAAGCAGCTGGTGTAGAACAAAAATGTGGACTGGCTTAAGGTCTTCATGGACTGGTCGGAATCTCCTAACATAAGGTGACATTGTAACAGATAGACACAACTGCCTAGGTCAGAAGGATATACAGTGGAAAGATTAATGATATAATCTTCCCTTGAGTGACTGCTTGCATTGTTTGGGCAAAGGTGTACAGTTAGAGAGCGACTGAGGCTGAAACTCAACGGTCATGCTGCCCAGCATGTCTGTACCTGCACACTGTGATGACTGTTCGTGGTTGAGCAGGTTTCAGATGCACCTGCTAATCTGTATGTGCAAGCCTAAAACCACAGAGTGCTTGAGTAGCGTTTGGACAGCCAGTTATAATGGAATCTGTTAAATAAATTTAAGTGCTCCAGGTCCTTAGCAAGAAGTGCTAACTTTTTGAAAAAAAAAGTACTAGAATCAGAAGTTACGGAATACAAAATTTTATTTAAAAAAATAAAAAAGCATAGGGTTATACAAGTTCTTATCATTTGTGATGTTTACACAAGACAAACATTTTCTTTATCAACTAAAAATGTCCTGTTTTCCATCCCTTCCAGGCATGCCATACTTAGATACTATGTTTTAGCACCACCGAAGGAAATCAGGTTCAAGGACACAATAACAGGTCAAAGGACTGATGTGAACCTGCAGTCTGCATCCCTGGTCTTAAATTCCATTATCAGAGAAGTCTTTTTCTCAGAGTGCGGTTACTAGGAGCTGGTTCTCGTTTTCTCTTTGCATTCTGCGTTCCACCTCTTTCGGCCTTTGCCTTAGATTTGGATGGAAAGACTGTAACATCTTCAGTGCAAGTTGTGGGGCAGGTGACATCCACAGCAGATTCAGGATTAGGAAGTTCGGGAATATTTGTTTTGGTAGTATCAGAACTATCTGAAGCAGTTTCAACAGTTTCATGGGTTGAAGTTTTGTTTTGGGAAGTGTCTGTTGCACTACTGTCCGTGTAGTTGTTCAGAGCTGGAGCACAGACAATTTTATCATTGTTAAGTCTTTCATCAGTGCTAGTTTTGGCATATTTGCTAAAGTGTGCATTGGTCTCTGAGCTTTGCATTTGGTCTGGCAGACTAGACTGTGCCAGCTGACACAATGCAAAAGCAGCCGTATGTTTCTGCTCATCTGTGGTGTCGTCTTGATCTTGTGGCGCAATAGTGTCCATGGCATCTTGAGAGACCCCTTCCATGTGTAGATGATCTTGTGACTGGGTTTGTGAGGGAGGCGTGCTGGAAGATGGCTTAAGAGAGAGGTTCAGAGGAATCTCAAGAAAGCTCTCTCTGGTGTTGGGATGGGCTGATGTTGTCAGTCTTGTGTGCTCCTTTTTAGAGAGGTTCAGAGGAGTGGTCTCTTCTTCTGTTGGCCTTGATGTTGAACTGTTGGCAAAGTAAAATAAAGGGATGTTAGACATTTTTGTGCAGTGCTTTTCTCCATGTAATGCTGTGGTCCTGGAGTACCTTTGCTCTGTATATATATTTTTGTTTTTGTTTTCCCTACTCCAACACACCTGTCCCACCTATGTAGGTGTGTTAGAACTGGGATAACACTAAACTGGGACAGTGCTACTCCAGGACCAGGGGTGGGAACAACTGATGCAATAAAGTAAGTGTTGCAAGCCATGGCATATCTTACCTCTCTAGATGCTGTGTGGAGTTATCTTGTACTATTCCATCTTCTGCTGGAAGTGCAGCAGCATTCCTGTCTCCTGTTTGGCTGCATAGGACTGCCATACCACTTCCATGCATTGGGTCATGGGCGTACTTGTCTTTCAGAGTGTGATTTTTTGCATTTGGCCTGTCTTGTGACCCATCTGCGGAACAGCCAACTCTGGGACTCTGAATCTCTTTGCTTTCTTGGTCTACTCCAATGTCTGATTCTAGCATGTGTCCCTGGTGAAGCAAACCCCTTTGAGTCATCATGTATTGATCAAAATAGAGATTTGAGTTGTGGAAACCATCAGGTTTTGTGTTACCCAGGTACCCTCTGTGTACACCTAGGATAGAGTGGCCCATCTGTGGGTAAGGAATAGAAGTAAGATGGGTCTGGTCAGGTGGATGGTACATGCTGTAGCTTAAAGAGGGAGTTGAATGGAAGAATCTGTAATACTCGTCCACAGTAGGGTACGTTGGGAGAGTGTGGACAGGTAACACACTGGGCAAGAGCTGATGGACTCTTTGAGCATCCAAGATGTAAGGAGGTATCTGTGGTGGAGAAGGGAAGTGGTTGTAGAAGTTGCCAGAAAGAAGATAAGGTGAATATGAGGGATGGATAGGGTAAAGATGTGGGGAGAAGGTATAAGGAGAGCACTCCAGACCTTGGTACATAGGTTCTGTCTCTTTTGCCTGCTTTTGAAGCTTGTCGTTGATAATTTCAGGGTCAGCAAGGAATGACTGCAGAGGTTTCCGAATAGGAACTGGGTTGTATACATGGAGAAAGGGATCGGGGAGGGACCTTTCTGGTTTATGAGTGCTTGAGGTGGCCTCCTCCTGAAAGGCAGAAATGGGCGAAAAGGCAGAAGAAAGTGTTGCTGCAGAAGAATGTTGTCCTTCCTTTTCAAAGGATTCAGCAGCTGAAGTGACCTGTTCCCCACCAATACTAGACAATGGTACAGTCTCAGATACATCTGGATAGATCTGTTCTGTTGGAGATACTGACTCTTTTTCAGGGGTGTTGCTTCTCTGAAGATTTTTTGGTATGGTCACATAGACATCTTTCTGTTGAACCTTGGAAATGTCTTTCATGTCATCAGTAGCTTGCACAGAAACACCCATAGGTGTTTCTGTAGTCGCTGTTCCAGTGCTAACTTCCATGGCAATCTGGGGGATAGGACTCTTGGCTTTCTTGGACAGCAGTGAAAGAGAATTCCTGCACAGGTTGTACTTCATGTGGTTGAACAAGTGAGATTTCTCATTGCATGTGAAAGGGCACTGGAAGCAGTGATACTTAAAAGGCTTTCCAGGGGGGCGAGGGATGTAGTGGGGTTTCTTGGGCTTACGTTCCTTAGTGGGAGAACTCATCTCTATGGACTTTACCTCAACAGGAAGATGTGTAGATCTGGTCCTGTAATGGCCTATTCAACTGGAAAATGACTTAATCTTCTCAGATGGGTCAAGTCTACTTTTTGAGAAAAGACATACCACATCCCAAAGTGTCTCTGAAAAAGATAGGTAGAAGAAAATTAAAGACTTGTCCAGTCATTTGAATTTACAACTCACAGTATCCCAAGCATGGGAGCATGTTCACAAGCTGTTGAAATAGAAAGGCAGTTTCTGTTCACTTTAGTACTGTGAGAATGTGCTGCACTGTTGAAGTGTATCGTTTGAATAATAGCTGCCTCTGTCCTTGATATGCAGCTTGGAACTATCCAACATTTGTATGAAACCTGTTAACACACCCGAAACTTTAGCCAGAGGGACTGACAGCTCACCCTGGTAACTGTTGCCTGGAGCAACACTATGACAGCTATAGAAGTGAGTTTCAGCAATTATGAAAATGAGAGGCATGTGTTGTTTTGCACTTTGAATTGGGCAAAAGGGGGTGATTTGCATAAGTGAAACCCACCTGGGGCCCTGGTAGAAGAACAGTAGTTTCTGTGTTAATGTCCATCCTTCTCTCTGGTACATTTTGTTTATTTGGTTCATTTAAGGTTAAGAGGGTTAAATAGCTCCACTATTAAAGTATTTGAGTATCTTCATCATTTGCAATTACACTCTAAATAATTTCTATGAATCAGATTATCCTGAACTAAATATCAGTGAGAGCTGGGACCATTATAGTAAACTCTTTACACTTCACAGTTAGGGCTAAGGTTGGCTATGTAGTACTGAATAAAATAGTATCAAGGTCTAATTTTCAGTTCCTCAATTTTAATATCTTTTCTGTGTCCTCATTCCTCTCAATTCTTTCAAATGATTGTAAGTGCCAGTTGTGTCAAGTCCTCCCTCGTTTCTTGCGTGCTCCACCCCAGTCACCCTCTTTCGTAATAAGTTGTCAGTCAAGTTGCATCAGTCACCATTGATGATGTAGTTGTAGCAATGCCTCTGTCTGTGAAGGGGTGCCTCTCGGGCGGAGTGGCTAAGAAAGGAGGGTTTTTTTGCTTTGAGTGTGACCGTCCAACACTACAGATCTACAAATCTTTTTCTATATTTAATACTGTTGAGATTCTCCAAAAGCAGGCCACAAATTAAAGAAGTTCCACTCCTGAATTCAGAAACACACCTATCACCAGCCCTAAGAACCTAGGCATGCTTCACCCAATCATGCAATCACACACAGATAGAAGTCAAATTGACATTAATTTTTCTTTTTCTATCATTATTTTAATCTTTCCAAGGTACGCCATCACTCTGTGGTAGTTGCACTGTTGTGAACTTACTGACCACCCGGTATAAGTGAAATTAATCAATGGACAACCAGAATACATATGATTCCCATAATGCAAAGTTGTAAGATTAGTGTTTAGAGATAGGATACTGGGAATGTGTTCACAAAAGTCTCAAGGAAAATAAAAATTCTAAAATGTGCTTTTTTTATACTCACCTCATATGTCAAGATTAACTGTTATTCTTTAAAAATCATTTAAGAATTATCTTAATTTCAAAAATAAATTTTATAACATTGTTATACTCTTTACCAAGCCATGGGTCCCAAAGTTTTATTGCACGCTTCTATAACCTAAGAAAAGCTCCATTAGTTCCTGTAGTTACTGAATAATATGGCGTAGTATGTAATAAGCCTGGAATGTTAAAAGCCTCATGCTTGTCTGAGAGTTGACAAGTCTCTAAAACTGTAACTTCTAATGTGTTTCATAACATATTTATCAAAACAGGCTGATATTTCCTCCACCATCACTTCTAATTCTGTTTTAAACATTTTAAGATGTTTTGTTTAATTTTTTTTTGGTCCATTTTGCTGGACTCAAGTACTGAGTGGATTAAACTGAATAATCATTTAACCCCTTAAATTCTCAGGCTTATTACATACTAAGGTTTATTATTCAGTAAGTACAAAGACTTCAGTGCAAACTGGTTGAGCTATTCTTAGATTATAGCATAAAACGTTGGGCCTACTGGTGGGCCCTGGTCATTTAAGAGAGTTGTAATTAATGTTGAATTTAAATTCAAAATGAAAGCCCAAATCATTTGCTCATGGTAGGATATAAAATGTTACTACATGATAGGCTATAAGATAAATATTCTACATAAGAAAAATAATGACGTTTTACATTTTTGCATTTAAGAACATTTTAATCAACTTTTGTAGTGTTAAGATCCGTCGTATGTTTTCACAATTCCGGTCCTTGATGTTTGACCATAGAGGACTAATCAGATATGAAAGAACTGATCACAGATCAAAATCTGAATCTGATTCTAGATGGAAATTTGTATATATGATTCTCAGGCTTGACCCAACACCATTGTAGCGTATGAAATATGTGTCTGATTTAGGCGTACAAACGCAATAATAATCACTATCACACTTACCTCCCGAGCGGTTGAAGAATCTGTCATTTATCACAGGATCATCTCAGGTTCGTCCTGCATGAAGTTCTGTTTGTCATTAACCTCCAAACTTTCAGAGAGGAAAAAGCTACATCTGTTCACTACCTGTTCACTAATCACTGTGTACGAGTTACCTGTCCTCTTTTAGCCTCTCTCTCTCTCTCTCTCTCTCTTTTTCTCTCTCTCGACTGGTACAACCTGCTCTGCCTACCTAAGAAGTTACAAACGTGTGTGTGGGTGTGGAAGGGGGCGGGGCTTAAGGACAGTTTGGCGAGCCCTTGGGCTACACGGACACACCTGATATAAAACAAGCCTGCAGGTAGAGTGCAAACACACACACACTTGATGCAAATGAAGCCTAAAGGTACAGTTCAGAACACACTGCAAACATATATATGTAGACATTATTAACCCTGTAAACGACCCTTTAAAGCTTATTATTCTTTCTTTTACTGTTCTTCTAGTAAATAATTTGATTTTTCTGAAAATTTCAGTTTTGTTATTGCTTACTATCTAAGTTGGTTCTTTCACTTCATTTTAATGTGTTTTAATTATATATTTTATTGAAGTTTAATACTTGTCTTCTATTCCAGCTGTTATTTTTTATTAGTATTATTATTTTTATATAAATCTTTTTGTCTTGATTTTTTTTTTATTATTATTATTATTTGTTCTAGTTGGTAAAATTCATTTAAACTTTTTCAGTTACCTGTAATTTGCTCGGCTACATTGTAAATGAGGATCACCCTCAATGTACTTCCAAGTCGAAATAAAGGTTTTTCATCTTTAAAAACACCTAAAAATGAGTATTAGACTATTTATTATTAGAATATTTAGAATATTTTCAGTAACTACTACAAATTACTCAGTAACTGCAATAAATGATTCAGTAACTACTACCCATTATTTAATAACTTCTTTAAATTAAAAAGTTTAATTTAAGTTTATAAGTAACTTATTCAGTAAGTGTTATGTTTTTTTCAGTGTCTACTACTAATTATTCAGCAATGTCTATGAATAACTCAGAAACTTCTACACTTTTTCAGCAACATAAATAATTTATTCAGTATCTACTTTGATTTATTCAGTATCTGCTACTATAAATGATGCAGGATTCTCTATGAAAAATTCACTTGTAGCACATTAATAAAGAGTGGAGACGTTCTTGTGTTTGTAAGAGGAGATATTATTATTTGAATTAAAAATTGTTGATATGTGCACAGTCTGCCCTGCGATGGACTAGCGTCCTGTCCAGGGTGTATCCTGCCTTCTGCCCCTTGACCGCTGGGATATGCTCCAGCACCCCCGCCGTGACCCACAGGAATAAGCGGTTTAGTAAATGTGTGTGTGTCTGTATGTATGTGTGTGTATATATATGTGTGTGTGTGTTATGTGCACAGTTGTGTTTTGCAGAAAGAAAAATATATATATATATCCTTTACATTTTTAGTGTTTTTGCTGTTTTTGACACTGAAACAGACAAAATTCAGAAGTGCAGACTAGAACCTGTCGATACAGAATGTAAATTGAAAGTATATATATAATTCATTATGTGTGACGTAAGGAATGTATAATTATATTTAAAGATTATCGCAAAATGATAGCTATTAACTGCAGACGTCTAAAGGTGAAGAGATCAGTGCATTATTTATTATCCACAGGAAAACAAAATGATTCAACTGTTATGTCATCATATCATTTAGTAACTACATGGAGAACAGTGCTGACTGGCTGAGTTATTCTTAGTGTATAACAGTGACGACGGGAAGCCTGGACATTATCAGGATAACAAATCCATTAAAGAACACTTAGCCGGTCCAAAGCGCCCCCTGAGGAATTACACCTGTCACACCTGAGCACTCAGTGAGCCTCTGTCTCCAACAGCCACACACCCGCCTGAGCCTGTCTGTCCACCTGACACAGGTGTGTGTGTGTGTGTGTGTGTGCCAAAAAAAATACACACGCTGAGAAACATGTTCAAACACACACACACACACACACACACACACACACACACACACACACACACACACACAGCTCACTTTCACCTAAACAATTTACTGTGTTTATGGGATTCTGTTCAGACATGTATGATCTTCTAATGATCACTGATATATAATAGTGTGATAATGATCAGGTTCTCTCTCTTACTCTCTCTCTGTCTTCTTCATTCCCACACACAATCTCTCTTTCTCTCCTTTCTCTCCTTCCTCCTTTCTTCCCCTTCTCTCTTATATATATATATATATATATATATATATATATATATATATATATATATATATATATATATATATATATCCCTTTCTCTTGCTTCATCTTTTTTTATTTCTCTTTTCTTTCATTCTGTCTCTATCTGTCTTTTCTCTTTCTCTTTATCAGTCTTTTGCTCTCTCTCATCTCACATTCTCTTTTCTCTGTCTCTCTCTCTTTTTTCTTTCTTTTGTTTCTCTTTTCTCTCATTCTCATTCTGCGTCTATCTCTTTTTCTTTTTTCTCTCACTCTCTTGTTCTGTTCATGTCTATTTTCTCCGTCTTCTGCTATCTCTTCTATCTTTGTCTCTATCTCCCTCTCTCTCTTGCTATAAATGTAAGTCTAACAGAACTACATTTAATAACAGAAAATAATAATCCTAGATTTAATAAAATAATGTTCTAGATTTGTTCTCACATAAAAAATAAACCTATTTTTTTTTTTACATTTTCCTGCTAATTTCTTGAATGACTAGTTTTTTTGTTTGTTTGCTTTGTGTGTGTGTGTGTGTGTGTGTGTGTGTGTGTGAGTGAGAGAGAGAGAGAGAGAGAGAGAGAGAGAGAGAGAGAGAAGGAGATTTAGACTATGCATGCACGCATAGGTATGGTTAGAATGAAGTTCTGCTTGCTTACTCTCGTTCTAACCCCGGAGTAAAAAGCTTCATTGTTTCCTCAGGTACTGTCCTCTTCACACCTGCTGATCTGCACACATGAACCTCTTGAAAGTGGTAAAACAGAAATGAGAGGCAGAAAAAAGACAAAATAAATGGATAAATGAGTTCTTGTCAAAGAATACAGGGGAGAGTGAAAAGGAAATATGGTCAGTACTGAGATATGAATGCAGCTGCTGCCCCCTTATGAGGATCGGCAGTAGCTGCAGGCTGCCGGGGTGAAACGTCTCTGAAATACTTTTGGAATAGCATCACTAATTACAGTGCATTTTCTTTATTATTTAAAAACACATCTTTGGGATACGTAGGATACTTATAACAGCACACTATGCTAAATGAAGTATAATTACATAAACATTTTGTAATTGCTGAATATTTTGTATGGTAAGATTTCCCACATTTCATAACAGAAGCATGTCAAAAAAATATTTGTACTTTTGTCAGTCAGTCTTGTTCTTTGTGCAGCTCTGAAATTTCAAGTAAACCTAAACAGCTGCACTGGGGATGATTGAGTAGTTCATGGAAAGCAGGCCTAGTGGATTTATTCCTTTAATTTTCACTGCGCAATAATCATAAAAACATTGGTATTTGTGTGGCACAGGTCTACAGTCGGCCTTGCACTGGTACAAAAATCCTTGCCAACAAAATTTTGACCAGCAAAATAGAGCTACTTTAATAAGACTAGCATACCAACATCTAGTGTTGTTATAACGACCCTTAACAACACTGATAGCAAGAGGATAGTGGGCCACTTTGGGCCCACTGATGGCAAAGCTGGTGGTCCACTGGTGTTTTGCTCAGCATTTTCTGGGCAGGTGGTTAAGCAGAGTATTAGACTATTATTCCACTAATCATTGCTCATTTTCCAATTACCCTTAAATTTACTTATTTTTCCTTCTTTCTGTAGTTATCCTTTGTAAATTTGTCAAAATTTAGTGAAATAATTATAGCCTAGCACCGTGTCCGCAACAATGTTTTCTATAAAATCACTTTATATCAGGCCTAGTCAATTTTTTTTTCTCTCTCAGTTGTTTGTAATATTTGTTATAGTTTATTTTCTGAAATAAAAGTCTATGTGCATTCAAAATCTAGGTAGAGCTTGTAAGAAGGACAATAATCTGGATGGTCCGAGGGTGGACCAGCAGTGGCAAACAGTCAGCGGAGAGCTGACCTTATTGAGCCAGCAGACCGATACATGCTTAATACCAATGTTTAGTCACAAAGATGACAGACTATCTAATTCACAATTGTCAGGCTCCAGTCCTTGTGGGCCAAAACACCACAATCTTCAGCACACTGCTTCATTAAACAGACCTGATTCAGCTCATCAGCTGATTAGCAAGGCCTTCCTGAACTGATTTCCAAGTGTTATATGAGGGTAAACGCTAATCTCTGCAGCACTTTGGCCCAGAAGGTCCCCAGTTTGAAACGTCTGATCTAATAGCACTATAGAACTGGTCCAGTGGATCTTGAAACAGGTTAACCTTCATCAGCCGGCTGCATGGCTACACTGGGCTTTCTTTGAAATGGAAATGTTGAAGATCAACCTCAGGTTCTTTATGACTATAGTTCATAGGAACTTGAAGGACCCTACAGCCTGAAGTTTGCTAATGAATAAGACAGCCACAGGATTGTGCTGGATTTTGGCTGTCTGTCCAGGAACATATGAATTCCTTTCACGGAAACAGAATCCAAGAATTTACCCAATTCAACCCGTACAAAGAATGGATTACATACAACTCTCAAAGGTGCACTTTTGGACACTAGGCAGCGCTGCAACCACAAAATATCAGGTCAGAAAACATCAGATCCACTGAACTTAGTATAAAAAAATTAAGTCACTGGCTGAGTGTCCAGGAATTTTACCGAGCTGAAATGGCAACTCTATCAATGACACCACAGTCGCTGGTTTAGATTGAAGTAGTGATGAGTCAGATGAGTGGTTGAACAGCTGGTCCACTGGAGCAGTCACAACAACTTGGAGCCCCAACAGAAGACCATGTCGGACTTCAGGAGAAGCCCCCATCCCTGCCATCGATCCCATTCTTGTGTAGGATAGTGAGGAGCCCCTATCCTTGCCAAGTACATCATCTCCACTCTTTTAAGCATGATGAGCTACAAATTGCTGTGACCACTCCAGAAAACCAACTGTTCAAAGACCCGTCTGTGTTTTGCTATACTGACTGTTTTTGGTTATAGAGAAGAGGTAACTTGTTCTCACATGAAGTGTGTCTTCTTGTAAAATGTGAAAAAAACTTGACTGGCTGCCATGCCACACCTGTAAACCTGTTTCTCTTGCTCAGTCAGAGCTGTGGCATACACATCAAGACTGTTCTGTAACAGGTGTGTTAATCCAAATGACTGACTTCTTTGTTTCATTTCAGTGGACGTTCTCCATAGGCAGAAGCTTCTTGGAGTGATGGCGATCTCTCTATCCCCGCTCGAACAGGACCTGACGTGTCCCGTGTGTTTAGAAATCTTTACCGACCCAGTGATTCTGCCCTGCAGTCACAGTTTCTGCAGGAAGTGTCTAGAGCGGTCCTGGCAAGAGAAATTGGAAAACAACTGTCCTGTCTGCAGGTGTCGACCATCAGATCATTTTTCTCCCAACCTGGCTCTGAGGAACACCTGTGAATCTTACTTGCAGCAGAAAAGAGTGCGGGATTCAGATCCCCAGAGATGTTCTTTACACTCTGAGAAGCTCATTCTGTTCTGTGTGCATGATGAGAAGCTGGTGTGTACACAGTGTGTGTCTCAGGATCATCAGAATCACAGTTTCTGCTCCATCAGCAAGGCTGCCAGCCCACGCAAGGTAGGAGTTTTATTTTGTGTTTCAAGATTACTGATTGTTCCAAACATCAGGTGATTTACCACCCATAACTGTGCTGTAAAGCCAAACAAAATCTTGCTTGACCTCATGAGAAATTGCATGCCTTCCATTCTGGACATAGCTGCCTAATTGATCTCTGCATGCTCCTAATGTGTTCTTAGACCGTTAGAAAAGTTCAATGGTGGAGTCACAAATCCTATACTTGTGATTTGGTCATAGATTGTCAGTCAGCAATGCTGGGATGTTATTTCTGATAACACATGACCTCAAGTGTGTCACTGCTTGTATACAACCACAAAATGAAGAAAACATTGTATCAGATGCCTCAATATTCTCCCACTTTGTCTAAGTTCATTGGATAACTTGAAGAAAACACGATCAGATACAATGGCACATGTCCACAGTCTCATTGGTTGCTGTTTACATGTTTCACCAATTGACAGTCTACAGACAAATTTGGGTTTGACCTCCCAGAATACACACTGCCAACTGCCAAAAGTTTAGGCACACTGCCAAAAGTTTTGGCTGAGGAGGAATAATAAGCTGGGGCTGTTCTTTGTGGTTTGGGTGGGTTCCCTAGATCCAGTGAGTGACATTTTAGAGGATTGTTTAGTTCCAAATTTGTAGCAACAGTTTCCAGTTTCAACATGACAATCCCAAAAGGAATCTACTGTTGTAGAGTTGAGTACTGTCTTGACCTCAACCCCACCCAATATTGGGATGAATTGGAGTGTGAGACAGACATTAGTGCCTTACACACAGGCCGGCAACATGAGGCTCCGGAGCTGCATGCAGCTCTTTTACTACCCTGTTGCGGCTGCGTTTTCATTTCTATGATATTTTTAGCCTATACTAGCGCATTCGCACATACTCAGACATATTGACAGCCAAGATGGTAAAATGGACATAAAATGTTGTGGCTCCCAAGGTGGTTTGATTTCTGTTGAAAAAGACAAGATGGCTCTTCTTAACGTTTGGGTTGCTGACCCCTGCATAAAATGACAAAGAGCAGAGAAATCAGGGTGTGCAAGAGCAGTTTGATGTGTCAGTCATGTGTATATTGTCGTCTCTCACCACATTATAGCATGTTATGACATGTTCTGATAGATGTAAATTACCTAAAAAAAATTTAAAAATCATATAATTTTGAAAGACATCACATCATATGTTACATTCATCCTTATCAGTCTTGATTTTATTCAAGTTAACTAGCTCAAGACTTTGTAGTTTCCTTACTTTTTACAAAGAAGCATTTTCATTTAATTGAACAGATTGAATTACACTGATTTATTTAATTAATTTGAGTGTCATTTTATCTGGTAATTTACTGTGTCTTTTTAGGAAAAGCTGAAGACTCATCTAACAAGCTTAGAGGCAAAACTTGAAATTTTCGAAAAATTTAAAGATATCAGTGACCAGGAAGCTGCACATATTAAGGTGGGTCATCAGTAACGGTCTTCATATGAAACTTGATTTGTTAAAGAAATGTAAATGAAAACTTTTTTATTGCCCTGCTCCCAGTCTCAGGCTCAGAACATAGAGACACAGATAAGGGAGGAGTTTGAGAAGCTTCACCAGTTCCTCATGGAAGAGGAGGAAGCCACTATAGCTGCATTGAAAGAGGAAGAAGAGAAGAAGAGCCAGAGGATGAAGAAGAAGATCGAACAGCTAGATGAGCAAATAATGGAAATAAGTTCTAGAGTCACAGAATTAAACATTATACTAAAGAATGATGCACTGATTGTACAGGTAAGGTGTTTGATATACAATATGGCTAAAAGTATGTGGACACTATTCTAAATAGGAGCTCTGGCTATTTCAGCCAAAATCAAGCACATAGCCTTGTAATCACCATAGAGAAACACTAGAATGAGTTAGCGATGTTATTGTGAAGAACAAATGCCTAGGGCAGCTCAGCTACTGGACTCTGGAGCATTGGAACCGTCTTCTCTGGGGTGATGAATTATGCCTCTCCATCTGTTAGTCTGATAGACAAAATATGAGTTTAGCAGATGCAGGAGAACAGAACAGTTTAGGGAAGCAACCTTCATAAAGAAACTAACTGGCCTGCACCTGACCTCAACCCCATCCAACACCTTTGGGATGAATTGGAATGTGTGTAAGCCAGGTTTTATCACCTAACATCAGTGCCTGATCTCACTAATGCTGTTGCAGCTGAATGGGAGCAAATCCCTGCAGCCACCATGTTCCAAAATCTAGTGTAAAGCCTAGTGGAGGCTGTTCCTGCAGCAAATGGAGACAAAGTATATATTAATACCCATGTTTTTGGAATGAGATGCTCAGTAAGCACCTGATCTTGATGTGATGTCCATATACTTTTGGCAACAATATTGTTTGTATAAATATGGAAGTAACTCTATTAAAATAACTTAGTAATACATAATTTCTTAATTTATTTCACAGGATTTCAAGAAGGCAAGTCAAAGGTAAACACATACATGTATACATTTACAGGCTAATTCTGCATAAATTTCATGTGTCCTTTTTTTGATGTTATAAAATGTAAAGAGACTATTCTATATATTTGTATCTTCAGAGCTCAATACACAGTACCAGATCCAGAACTTGAGTCAGGAGCTCTGATTGATGTGGCCAAACACTTAGGAAATCTGAGTTGCAAAGTTTGGAAGAAGATGAAGAACCTCTGTCCTTACTGTGAGTTACAAATGGTTAAAGATGCACTGTGTAAGATATTTTTGTAGCACTACTGAGTCAGGAGAAAAACAGCAAGTCATCCATGTGCTGCTGCAAGACACCTTGTAAAGTCTGAAATGGTCATTTAAAAGAGATAGCAGGTCGGGTTTTGCAGTTTTTCATACTACGCCATGCATGTTTAAGCTTTAATCACACACAAGCTCAAAAAAAGATCCAGCTTGATTTTTAGGTCTCAAAAGCAAAGTCAACATTATACTGGTGAAGATATGAAGTTTTGATGCTTTGAATTCTCTTGTAACACACTCACAATCATCAGATTTATCTGCTTCATACTTTTCATGCAATTACACATTTCCACCAGAGGGTCTCCAAATCCCCAAGCTCACATAGTGCAGATTTAAATTTGAATTGTGTAAGATTATTTTAACTGAAAATTTAAAGAACTAGCGTAACTGTGTCAGTAAAGAAAATTATGTTCACATATGTTCCTTTTTTGTTTTGAGTCATGCTGCCAAAAATTCACTTAAGTCAACAAGTTGGATGTAGCAAGGTTGGCTAGCTGACTTTTTTCTCAAAATCCAGTTATTCTCATCTCAACATTTTACATATTGTCTATCCACCTAACTGACTCAAACAACATTGAACACTGAAGCCTTTATGTGAAATGTCGGAAAATTGACATAGCTAATTCAAAACCATTGTGTATGTGCCATACCTTTCCAATGGGAATTCTCTCGATTCTCCTGATTTTTCATTCTGGGAGTACTGGGGATATATTGGGATATAAAATAGTTGCCCAGGACATAGAAGAATTAAGGCTGCCAAAGGAGACCCAGCAAAAACTGCAACACAAGGCAAATAACTTTTACTTAAATATCTGCTACAAGTTTATTTGTTTAAGTTAAAGTTTATATGTTATTCCACACTCCACTGCTAGATTGCTTACATTGCAAACCCCATAGATATACTAGCAGAAACTATTATAATCCTGTAATCGGGGTAACTGTTAAAACAACGGCTAACAAATGTTCAAAAATGGACATCTGACTGTCACAAATATCACAACTTCATAATTATTGGCACGTTTGGTAAAGTTGGATAAAAAGTAATGTCTTTGTGGTCAATCACACACTAAATGTATGAGAAAAATCCTAACCTTGAATTGATAATTGAAGTATATTAGTCTACGAAAACTGAAAACGTTCTCTTGCAAGTTGCTCTTGCAATTTGATATATCCACCATAGAGGGCTCCAAATCCTTATTTAATGTTCAATATTTTAAATGTAAAAAAAAATACATGTCTGAATGTTGAAGCATCAGTTTAATATAAATATTTTTTGCTTTTCTGCAGTTCCAGTGGTCCTGGACCCCAACACTGCAAACCCCTCCCTCAGTATTTCTGCAGATTTGAGCAGTTTCTCACCCTCTGCTAAAAACCTTTCACTTCCAGACAACCCAGAGAGGATAAATGCATATAGCGGCATTCTGGGTTCTGAAGGGTTCTCCTCAGGAACTCACAGATGGGAGGTGGTGGTTGGAGATAGTGAGGACTGGATTGTAGGAGTGGCTGCAGAATCCGTCAGCAGGAAGGAAGCCTGTTTATCACTCCCAGAACATGGGTTCTGCTGTATATGGAGGGATGCTGACGAGATTAGTGCTGGAATTTCCATGAATTCTTCGAAAACTCTTATGACAAAGCCAACCATTCAGAGAATCCGCGTGACTCTTAATTGGGAGAAAGGTCTAGTGACTTTTACCGACCCACATTCTAATAAAGACTTGTATTCTTTTGATCTAACATTCACCAAGAAGATGTATCCATACTTCAACAATGATGGCAAGAACTCCTTAAAAGTTCTACCTGCCTACATCAAATTTTAATCAAGAAGCACAATTTCTGCTTTGTTTTTTTAATGGTATCATACATATTATATGTTATGCCTGAATGATCACAGTCTTGTTCGATTATGGTGTTTGTTATAGGTATTGTGTTGGTACATTTGTTTTGAATAATTAGGGCAATGATGTAAAAGGGATGTTAGGGAAGTTATATGCTTTTCTTTCATATATAAGTTAGACAAGGATCAAACAGATCTATTATAATGTATGATTTTCAAATACAGGAAAATGTTCATCAATTATGTTATTTAGTGATTTTATAAAATTCAGTTTCATCAATTTATTCTTTTACATCACACAGCTCCAAAACCTCAGGCCCTAGTAGTGAAACTCATATCTGCAGTATAAAAAGCAGTGGGGAAACCTCAAGGCTTGCTAGGCCTCCATGCAAGAAGGCATAAGAATTTCTGTGAAATAAAAAATTCATTGTTAAATTTAATTCCATTTGAGTGAACTTACAGCACCCCTGGCCACCTCCCGGTAAAGGTTTACCAGGCTCGGCCAACTGGGATGAGGTCCCGAGGTCATCCTAGGACTCGCTGGAGGGATTATATCTCTAAATTGGCCTGGGAGTGGCGTGGGGTCCCCCTGGAATTAGCTGGAATACCCTAGCTGGATTAAGCGGTTTAAGATAATGATGATGATGATGATGATTATGAGTGGATTTAACCAACTACATTTTGATTTCCAGTGAAACATATTTTCTGAGAAGAACATCACTCTAGGCCTTCTGGAATCTCTGCATACACTATAGACTGTGAATACGGGTGGAAGCCTGACCAATGCGCTTCAGTCCGTTGCTAGAAATAGAAAACAGTGGTGGCAGCTCTATGTTAGGACCAGTGGCAGCTGGTACTTTCCCACACAGGTGGAGAGAATCTAATGGTAAAAAAGTAATACTCATAAAGTACTGTTCAAAAGTTTCAAAGCCTTATTCAGTTTGTATTATTTTACCTGTTAGGGACCAGGTGAAAAAAAATCACTGAGATGCTAAGTAGCTAACAATTAGCATGCTATACCAGCTTTGATGACAAGGGGACAATTCAATTTGAAGTTAGCATGAAATGTTAGCCAGTTAGCTCCTCAATTAATTTTTCTCCACTTTGATGTCAAAGAGCAAAGCAAAAAAAAAAACAGATGCCCCACGTACTACTAGTAACGTACTACTAGTGGAAAAACATTGTGAGGGAGAAAAATAATTGAAGTCCTTGATGGATGGAACTGTGTGAGTGATTTTACTTGTATTTTTTCAGTTCTTTTTGGTATTTTAAACAAGCAGAAGAATAAAAAAAAATGTCGAACTTAGTCTCATTCACTGTACTTATCAAACGGGTTTCATTTGATTGAAAACATCAATTCCAAACCTTTGAATGTAGCTCAGTAAACAGTGTCTGCCCACAGCTTCAAAAAGCATTACACATAAGCTGTACTACACAATGCTTTCCTATTAATAGTTACCTTACCAAACAAAATGATCGGTCTCAGAATTCAGAAGTATTTACAGTTTATTCCAGATACATTTCTTGTTGACTAAAAAATAAAAAAAACAGTGAGTTTTATTAAGTCAGCAACACCAGTGCGAAAGGCTCCCCTGAATTACTGAGCATGTATTCAACAACAGACTTTCATAAGTTTAAGACAATAACAGTCAGGCACGTTACAGTGTCCGTACAGATGGTTTCTTTTGAGATCCTGCCTCTTTGACAACTCCACCAATCATCAGACACAGAAGCTGAGCTTCCAGGTGGGATAAGATGTACGTTTGTAAAAGCCTACTGGTCAGTAAAGTTGAGATATTTTTTGTATATGCAAAACCCACTTGCGAGAGCCTCAAAGACTCCCTGTGAAGCACAGCATCCAGGCGGCACCCAAAATAATCCTTAAAAAGCCTGTCGTCTAATGAATGTTGATCTTTTATTTCAGTAGCGTTCTAACAGCTGTGCTTCAGTGAAGTCTCTATGCAATATGTTTCAGTAGGGTTCTATTGGCTGAGCTTCAGTCAGGTCTCTATGCAATATGTTTCAGTAGGGTTCTAGGGGCTGAGCTTCAGTCAGGTCTCTATGCAATATGTTTCAGTAGGGTTCTATGGGCTGAGCTTCAGTCAGGTCTCTATGCAATATGTTTCAGTAGGGTTCTATTGGCTGAGCTTCAGTCAGGTCTCTATGCAGTATGTTTCAGTAGGGTTCTATGGGCTGAGCTTCAGTCAGGTCTCTATGCAATATGTTTCAGTAGGGTTCTAGGGGCTGAGCTTCAGTCAGGTCTCTATGCAGTATGTTTCAGTAGGGTTCTTGGCTGAGCTCCAGTAGGATTACGTTTCCGTTTCCACCGAGAGAACACCAAGCGCAATTGGCAGACGCTTCTTGGTGTGTGTGTGTTTGTTGTCATTGATCTTTTGTCATTGGATTACACATCACCAAGCTTTCATCCTGGACTGTTTCATGGACTGGACTGTCCTCTTACCTGGTTTGGGTTGTCATATTGCACAGCTTTTGGCCGGTCTGACATTTTGGACTGTTGCATGCCCTCCGAATAGCTGGACTTTTCCACTAACACAGTCTCATCCTTGCAGTGCCTAAAAGCCTTCTCTCCCATCGCTGTTCCAGGTGCACTGTGCTAATTGGCCTGTTTACTGAGTAAGTGTCCCCTCCCTTGGCAAACATTGACCGATGGCTCTGTTTGTTGCTGATGTAGGGCCAGATGGCTGGTGTTTTGATTTGGAATACTCACTTTGAATCTCCCAATCAACGTACTTGAATATACACCACCATACTTATGTAACTGGAACTGCTGTTTACATTTACATTTTCCTCAATAAATAAATGACCAAGTCTAATATTTTTGTCTCTTTTGTTGAATTTGGTTCTTTTTACCTACTATTGGGCTTGTTAGAAAATCTGATGAAGTTTTAACTTGAATTTATGCAGAAATTTAGAAACTTAGTATTTTGATATTTAGTCATCTTAATATGGCAACATATTCTAGACTTTTTTCAAATTCAAATTAAACTGTGTATTTGTAATTGCATTTTCCATGGGAGTGTGCATCATTTAATGTGTATTTGCATTTGCATTTCTGTGTATAATGCCTGGGAAATATTAATATGGAAAACTTTTTAACTTTTCATTGTCATTGTTTTAATGGTCTGACTCTGACTCTGAAAATCTGTTAACAACCATTTGTTTGCAATTGCATTTCCTCATCATTGCGCTCCAGCTCGAGCTCCAGCTCTGCCAAAATTAAAATGTATTTGCAACTCTATGTAATGCCATAAGAAAAGAAACTTTTTGGAGTCTATTTGTCAGGGTAAACAACAATCTTCTCTGCACACTTTCTGGTAGAGGTCTGAGTGGGACTGTGTTTTTACTCCCCCTCCTGCCCGCTCTGGCAAGAGATCATGCTGCTCTAGCCCATTCCCACAGAAAACTGGAATCATTTGTCCCGATCCCAACCACAACTGAAATGTTTTGGCCTGCTTCCACCCACACAGTCCCATTAAGGTGAACTGACATCCAATATTAGACATAATCTATTCGAAAATTCATTATTCTCTGCTGAAATAACATGGTAATCATGGTCATTGCCATTTATTCCCAGTAAACACAAACAAAGAATTAAACCACAGGATGGTTATTTTTGGTGTTTTGCAGGACTTGGCAGCTGTGGGCATCAGATTGTAGGCATGTGGTTCATGTGATCGGTTGCTTCGCAACTCTTTAGAATACATACATACATACATGCATACATCATCTAAACCGCTTATCCTTCTGGGTTGCGGTGGGGTGCTGGAGCCTATCCCAGCTGTCATTGGGCGGAAGGCAGGATACACCCTGGACAGGTCACCAGTCCATCACAGGGCACTCTTTAGAATGACTTCATTTATTTTAATTGTTTTACTGTTATATATATATATATATATATATATATATATATATATATATATATATATATATATATATATATGTATTGTTCTGCTTCCACCTGCAATGGACTGCTTACCTCTACTTCCTAGTTCTGGAGGTGTGCACATAAAGCAGGCTTGACAGATTAATACAAAAGGTCTGTAAATGCAGTTTGTAAATGTCATGTTTGGTCACAGCTGCACTAGACTGAGATGGTGGTGACAAAAAAAAAACAAAACAAAACAAAAAAAACAATAATAGAACTGAACAAGCTGGTCTCAAAACTGGTTAACCTACTTCAGTTGATGCATGAAGTTCATCCTCTGCTGGGCTTCCTTTGAACTGATGTGCAAGAAACTTGAATGACCCCATAGCCGTAGCCTCTTATGCTCCTTGGAACCACCGGTAGTTCCAAAACGCACTTTGTCATGTTCTTCATAACTTTTATATTTCATAAGCTACATTCAGAAGGTGGGGGTCGTATAAGAGCTGTAACTGTCTTCTTTCCAGTCAAATAGATGGGTGATGTAATTTTAAACCCTTATCATAAAAGAAGCTGAACTCACAATTTTTTTTTCTACTGAAAGTCGACCCATTTTTCCACAAATCTGGGCTATAAACTATAAACAGATGGCGTCTCTTCAGTGATCTGCTCTGTAACAATTATTTTTATAAAATAATACAAAGAGCGTCTAAGATTTTTGGCTTTCAGCAGTAAATTGTAAGCATTTATTAATATGTGTATGTTCATAAAACTCATTTTCTGTTAATTTGAGGGGAGCTTTTACCAAAAAAAAAATAAATAAATAAATGAAATACAAATTTGCATTTATTTCATGCAGTTACTGAATAATTTGCCTTAAGATGTGGTCATGTAAATTCAGATGGACAAACCAAAATATACCCTGGAGCATAAGAGGTTAAGTGTGCAGGTTGTCACTCAAGGTGCAGGTTGATTTTCAAAATGTCTCAGAACCCAAGCATTTACATATGTAAATATTTTGTGTGAATATTTTAGCTGCTTCTTTTTTTTTTACCCGATTTTCTCCCCAATTTAGTCGTCTCCAATTCCACCCGCTAGTTAGGACTCCCCCAATCACATGATGCTATCAACGCTAGGAGGGTGAAGGCTAACACAGGCTTCCTCCGAGACCTGTGAAACCAGCCACCGCTTCTTTTCGAGCTGCCGCTCACGCAACGTCATTGGACAGCTGAACGCGCTCGGAGGAAAGCGCCAACCGCCAGATCTGTTACGTCAGCTAACAGACGCCTGCGCCGACTAGCATCACGCTGAGTGATGGGGGGAGAAGGAGGGGCCATCCTACCCACCCAGAGTGAGCGAGGCTGATTGTGCTCTCTCAGACTCCCGGCTACGGATGGCTGTAGCATCACCAGGGATCGAACTTGCGATCTCCTGATGACAGGACCAACGCTTAGACGGTTGCGCCACTCGGGAGCCCTAGCTGCTTCTTTTTAACCAATTAAACCACTTCTCACTTCTCTAGGGACAAGGTAGCACTGCAACATGATGCCTGAGAAGAGTAGGTTCTGTAGCTGAACTGACAGCTACTTTGGTTTGCATCATGAGCACAGCTACCCATCACCTGAATTTAGTAAAATATCAAATCACTGAGCGTATAAGAATTTTACAGTGGCAATTACACTACAGTCATCGGTCACATCTGAGATCAGTGGGTGGTTGCAGATGCTTACAGGTGGGTGGCTGAACAGCTGGTCCTCAAATTGATGTGGCGGCCCAACTGTTGAATGACTCATCTGCATTTTGCTCCACTGAATCTACTTAGTGGTTGTAGAGAAGCAATGTCATGTTCTCACATATGGGTTGTCTTCTTGTAAAAACACAACAAAACTTGACTGGCTACCTTAACACACCTATAACCTGTTCCTCTTGCTCAGTTGGAGCTGTGGCATAGACATCGACAGTGCTCTGACAATTTTAAGGTAATTTAGTTTTTGACGTTTTTCACTCAGCTACATTTTTAACACTTAATATTCAGTGTTCATTTTGAACATCTAAAATGAAAATTGTCATTTTGTATGTATTTAACTAAATGACTATGACTTCTTCTCAAGCAGAAGCTGCTTGCAGTGATGGCCACCTCTCTC